CATTTAAGTGAAAAGCGAATGGGTATTTACGAGTTTTTACTACCTAATTAAATAGACAATGTTTGCCGATCTCCAGATTGAAAGTGCCCCAATTCCGAAAATTTTCGTAAGTAAAAGAATAGTTAGTAGGTTAATATGGGATGAAGCTATTCACGAAGTTTCAGGCGGGTGTTAATAGTTTCATAAAAAGTGTTTTGTACCACGGACTATATAGTTTATTTTTGAAGGAATATAACATCAGTTTATTGCTAAAAGTCACAAAGTGATATAAGTTAACTTTTAAATATGTGTTTGTGTATTTCGACTTTATTTACCGATAGAAAAACATTAAGTGAATAAAAATTACAAAAAAAACTTTTATGTATCAAATATAGTTACAAAAAATGCACAATTTTCCGAATTCATAAAGGCAAAATTCGACAATGTTCGAAATTACGTAAGGTTATGAAATGTCACATAATGATTTTTTGCGATTAACAGACAATATATATATTTTTAAAACCGACAATATTTTTGAATTACAATACATAAAGACTCAAAACACTTCTGACCTGATACTGTCGTTTCAAAGGACGGGATTTATTATCCGTTTCCAATGTATTAATGTTTAATGTATTAAATAACAATACTTTCATAAAATATCATTTTGTACTATTTCTTTTTAATGATTTGAAGCGTACTGATAGATGTTACGATCAAAGTTGTCTTATCAGTAATCACAACAGTAAATAATTATATTTATTGTATATTTTAATATTACTGAGAAAACTACTAAATATAATAATTAGAATAGCCGAAATTATCTTAACCATGTGTATTTTAGACTCTGGAATCTGAAAGAATTTCTTCAGAGAGTTTGACCGGAAGTGCCAAGGGTGTTCCACTGGTGTTTATAAATGAGATGCTAATCGAACAATATACCCACGGGAAGTAGTAAAAACAAATATATTATAGTTGAAAAGAAATTCCAACGTTGAATTCTCAAAAATTATAAACGATTACCAATTTTTCCCCTCTTCGTTAAAGAGTTTGAAATCCATGATTTTTATTGTTACTTCCAAAAATAATGGACAATCAGTATTGCTTGGAGTTAAGATTATTTTAGGCGTATTGATTACATAATAATGCAAATTTATAATTAAAAAAAGTAATTTCTTTTTTTAAGTTGAGTAATAATTTTAAATTATAATTATATTACCTGATCAATAACAATTTTATCTCCTTCTTCTTGGTTTTAAAAAAAAATTATTTTTTACACAAATTAGGGCAATATTCACCAACATTTATTGATAAGCTATTAATGATGACGTTTCGACCATACTAAGGGCCATTTTCAAAGTCTTGATGAGTCCTCCGTTATATATTCATTATTTATGTCGCATTAATTTGTTCAGTGAACATTAAAATGTCCTACTATTTAGGGGTTTCGCCTACGTCATTTCTGGAGGGACTGAAATGACGTAGGCGAAACCGCTAAATAGCAGGACAATTTAATGTTCACTGAACAAATTATTACGACATTAATGATGGATACATAACGGAGGACTCATCAAGACTTGAAAATGACCCTTAGTGTGGTTGAAACGTCATCATTAATAGCTTATCAATAAATGTTGGTGAATATTGGCCTGATTTATGTAAAAAATAAAATCTCAAGACACCAATTTTAGGAAAAATGAACAAAAGAAAAAAAATATTTTGTCATACCGAAACTAAATGTTTAAATATTTATATGGGTACAGTTAGCCTAGTTGTGTATGCATGTGAATATTTAATAAATAAATTTTATATTAATAAATAATACATTAATATAAAAATCAGGTGTTCAAACTTATATTGATTTTTTTAAATAGTCTCATTTTAACAGTTTCTTTGAAACCTTTTAGGAAAAAAGTTCTTAAAATAAAAATTATAAGAAACTTTTTTGTAACAAATTTACAGCCTTAAGGTAAATATTTAACATTTATTTATTCGAATTCTTAAAAAAAGTTTCATTAAATAAAAAATAAACAGTAATTGGCCTTATATAGGAGTTATAATTTGTTTTAAATGAATTACATGTGATTCTAATGTGTAATTTGTTTGAGTAGCTATGAATAAGTGTCATTTTGTAGATTGATGTTATAACGAAATCGACATAATTATTAAATAACATTGTTTTAAAAATGAAAGGCCTTTACTTAAAATATAGCAAGAGAAAATATTCTAGGTCCAAAAGAACTGAAAGATTATCGACAGTAAAAATTCGAGTGATATCGAAACTTTTTAAAAATAAAAGTTTTATTTCTGCTTCAAGCCCTGATTTAAACCTATTACTTTGGTCATTTGAAACCATCCTGTTTCCTCAACTTAAATTTATAGTGTGATTACCTTAAAACCTATTCGTTTAAATAAATTTACGGAAAGTTAATGTCAAAAAATCATCATATCTTATCATATATTGTTTATGAGTAATTTTTGTCATGTCCACCTTATCATGTGTCACCGACATTTCATCAGTCTCATTTCTTCAGTCAAACAAAATAATTTTTTGTTTTCCGTTTCAAGCCCTTATTAAAATTATATTACCTACTTGATCGCAATCGTTAGAAACATTTTATCTTCTTTGTCTTGGTTTAATGAATTGTCACACCGATACTAAATGTTTGAATATGGATATATAATATATGTATGCCTGCACGTGTTGGTATGTATGTAAATATTTAATAAATAAATTTAAATAATGCATTTATGTAAAAACACAATTCATGTCGTGAATATTATTTAAAAGGAGAAGAGTGGACGAGAGCCTTCAGAGAGGACCCGTTACAGAACTGTCTGGATTCGGTTGACCCAGGATGAACTCTCGACTTGGCTACTTTCCAAGAGGTCGTACAGACTGGAAGATTATTGTTGTTGGGGGTCAATAAGAACCAGAACTCTCCTTAGACTACGCCCTCTCAAAGGAATAATAATGGTACAAATGATCAACAGATTGCCTGTCAACTTTAGGTTACCCTCCTCCCTCGACTTTGCCTCCTCTTAGCAGTAATTGGATATTCATCTTCAGCTCTAGGGGTTAGGGACCGTGTTAAAGGGGACTCCATGAACTGTATACCTCCATAGCGAGAATATCAGACTATTACGTTAATATCATCATTTTAAAAATATTCCGCTAAAGGAAGAGTCGTGGCTATAAAGGATAAAATGTTTTTTATTTATTTTTTTGTTGAAGTAATTTAATTACTTTTAATTTATCTATTTTTAAGTCATTCCAGAGACCTGGAATATTCTTTTCTACTTGCATTTTCCATTCCTACTCTTATGAGGTCAATGCCATCGCCATCGCTGGAGTGCGTCAGGTATGTACATGTGTGCTCTGATTACTGATGTATAATATTAAGAACAAATCTCAATAATTTTTTTTTTTTTATTTCACATAATAAACTGTAATTTCCAGCATTTTTTATGTTTCAATAGTTGCTAATTTTTTTTTTTTAAACTAGAATTCTAAACTTAAAAAAAATTCTAAACATGAATGTAAAAAAAATCTTCCGATTGCCTAAGTACAATCACACATATCTAGGTTAAATAGCCATGGATCTTATATGATGTTAACAGATCAAGCCATCCATACACGTGATCACTGGTGGATCCACGAGGGGAAGTGGCCCCAAATTTGAAAAATAATTTTGTTTTCATTGCTTAATATTTGATTCTGTGTGTGACTAGAGCTAAATACTTTTAAAAATTATAATGCATGAATTTAAACTGTAATTAAGATAAGTACTGTACGTGTCATGAAAAACATATTAAAAATGGATCTCTAAAAGTATTATTGTTCCTGAAAATACAGATTATTTATTAACTAACTATTTTTACTGGTCTTCAATGACCTCTAAAAAAAAATACTCCCACCAAAATCAAATCCTGGATCTGCTACCGCACGTGAACAATAATTTAAAAAATAATATTAAATTCACGGATTATTCAGAAATTATTGCCTTGTGTACACTATGTACAATACTTATCTTAATTACAGCTGAAATACATGCATTATAATTTAAAAAGAGAATATATTATGATTGTTTAAATATTTAGCTCTAGTCACTTACAGAAACAAATATTCAACAATGAAAAAAATATTCTTTTCGAATTTGGAGCCGCTTCCTCCATGCCTTGTGTCATGAGTAAATTCCTTAATTTTACAACAGTATTAAAATTCCTAAACAATTAAATCAGCAAACCATTTTATCGAATTACTTTACAACGGGAAATAGTACATATTTCATAAAATGCAAACAAAATAAACTAAGCGAAGATTTGTTCCTAAGAGGTTTCAGATAAATTAGGAGAAACTATGAGTCTTAAATGTCCACTTAAGCAATACAATGATTAAATTTTAAGCTTGCAAGTATAAAGAAAATGAAAAAGAAAAATTACATTTTGTTGGTTATCTTAATTAATAATGTAATTTTTCATTGTGTTTCAAAGATTTCAGAGAAGAAAAGAGATAATTTTGTTGCACATTATACGTTTACACAATTTAACTTCAAAATATCCAAGAACATCATTTGCATATCATTACCTCTTGTTAACATTTGACTAACACTTGCGACCTTCAGTCGAATAAAAGCATTTTAGAAATTTTAACTGTCAACATTTATTCCTAACAATTAAGAAATGTCACATCCAACTGAATAAAGGATAGTCGTTTCAAAGTCACGGTTACTAGTTCCATTGTCAAACTGGTTCTTATTGATAATCGTGATTTAAACGTCGGATTTTCGCGATTTCTCACTGTCACCGCTACATTTTCACCTAGAGGATACTAATTCGCCAAATGGGGACTAGAAAGCGGGAAGAAGAACAGAAAAGAAAAGCCGAAGTGGGACATATGTTGTTTGTTATGGTAGACAGAGAGAGAGAGAGAGAGAGAGTGAGAGAGGTACGTGGGAGGTGACCAAATGTTGATAGAAGTGGACCCAACAGGGACACGAACTGTACCAGAAGCCACTGACCTGGTTGTCCATGACGGGATGCGGTTGTCCTGCTGGTGTACTCCTCAGAACATGACGATCTCGAAGACCACCCGGAGGACTGCGACTGGTACAAGTAGATCCTGCCTACACCGAGCGTGGCGGTGGACTGTTGCCTTCTCCAACACCCACCGGCCCCCCCACTAACTGATCAATACTCCTCCCAACCTTCTCTAACTCGCTACTTTTTCATTAATTTCGTCTCCATCTTTCACGTTTTAAAGCGAATTATTGGTTAGTAATAATACTAACCTGTAGGATGATAGTGACGCAATGCCCACCTTCGGTAAAAATTACATCACACCCCGATAAATTGCAGAACAGGTTGCTAGGAGGGGCGTGCTTTACACGTGTCACGCCGGGGGTAGTAATTTGTAAACAACCTTAATAAGCCATTAGGCTCAGTAAATATTTCTGAAATATCATTTTATCACATTTTATTTATTATTCGATGATAATTTGAAATTAAATTTTTTTTTTTTTAATAACATAACATTCACATAGACGATGGTTATTCTGAGCGCAAGCCTACATCCGCACTATATATTGAAAATAGAAATAAGCATAAGCAAAATGACTACTAAATAATAATCAAAAAGTATATACAATAAATGAAAATAAAATAACTTAATCACTAATTTTTTAAAAATTCTATTTAGACATATAATATTCTGTCTCGTGGACAACGATTATAGTGATAAATGAACACATTCACACCATATATACAGAAAATATAAAATTAACAAAAGTAAAATAATAATAAAAAAAACTATGGACAATAAAAAAATCTCTACCTCATGCATATCAATGTATCAATACCATATACTTACCGATAGCAAACTCACTGATTGGAAATATTTTTGACAGATGTGTGAAAATAAAGATATATAAAAAAAAAACTATTATATTATTCAGCGAGAAATAACGGTTCGATAGAATATATATGGAAGAATTATTATTTCTTTGATAAACCAAAAACATATAATGCATAGGTTTGTCATGTTAATGCATATTAACTGCCTTGAGTTTGTATAATTAAAGTAATATACCTAAGGTTTATTAAGTTAAAAAACAAAACAAATTTATAATGAAAGTATGACGATTAGTGTTGCCCAAATGCGAGACCGAGACGGATCTTGGTCTTGCAAACTCAGTCTTGGTCTTGCGCAAGAGTTTCTCAAGTCTTGAAGTTACTTATTTGCTTATTGCTATAAAGATACTACTGTAATTTTTTAGATAGGAGAAATCTAGCTAAGCCTGAATGAAAAATTAGAGGAGTTAAATGCAAAAGTATATTAGTTATAACAATTATTAGCATACAGTAACTAAAATTGTCTAGTGTTAGTCACTATTTTGCCTTAATTTTTATTTAAAAAATCTGTTTTTTTTACCGGTCCTGGTCTTGGTCTTGCAACAGTTAGGCGGCCTAGGTCTTGGTCTTGCAAACTGCAAGACCAACACCGATTTTGGGCAACACTAATGACGATAAGTGAAAGCTTTGTGATGTATTAATCGCAGCAGCAGATAGAATAGTTACAACTTAAATATAGACAAATAACATTAAATAAAAAAAGTACTTTTCCAACCTATTATCATACAACAAAATTCAAATATCAACCTGACGTAATGTTTAAGATTTTTCTAGAGTATTTAGGGTTTTAACACAACAATAATTAGGTTTTGATTATCTACTGCTTAAATCCCTTTATAATGAATTATTATATCTGTTTAAGTATAGTTCTTTATCATGTTTATAAGAGACAGGGTCCCGCTGTGTTTTATGATTGAGATAATCCACCCTTTAAGTCACTTAATTAAGCAACTCCCATTATACCTAAGGATTATATCAGATATTAAATATTAATATATTTTGTGGAAATGGCTTTCAGAGATATGTTTATAAAAAATTATAATTTAAATTCACAAAGCAATATATTGCCATCCATTGCCTTTTAGTGTTTTATCCGAAAATGGGTTAAAATATACTAATATCCAGCCATAACAGAAGTCATAAAACAAAGTATTAACACTTCAATTATAAGTTGCCTCCAAACTAAGTTAGGAGTTCTACTGAATGACATAATTTGTAAGTTTAGGGAGTTGGGAATAGCATTCGTTACGCTAACACCGAACTTTGCGACCACATACACCTTCAGTTCCTAACTTTTGCTATTTGGTATGGTGATCTAACCGCTGATAAACCTGAATTTTCTATGCCTTTAATGCAGTAACGCACTTTGACTTAGCATGGCATTCGAGAAGCCATGATAATCAAACTCAATGTTTTGATGAGTCGAAGCATGGGGATGTAGATTACTTTATTTAAAAGTTTACATTATTGTTTGTTTCATAATATTTATCAGGGGTACCCAGAAGGAGGTTACATGGCGCAAGTTGCGCCATAAACATTTTTCAGGGGGACCATTTTGGCGGGGTTTTCAATTTTTGAGGGGCGCACATTTCAAAGGTGGTTATGAATTTTCGAAATGAAAAGTTTCATATTGAAAGACAAATAAAAGCATGGAAAAGACTGGAAAGGATGTGTAATTGTATATAATCTACACATTTTTAAATTATACTTTTGCTTTCACTGTTTTTAAGAAGAGGATAGCAATAAAATATCGTGGGAGGGATGGGGGAAGGTTCATGCGTTATCGATCTTGGGGAGAAGGCCCACTCCAGATACTTGTTAGTAAAAGTAGAGCTATAAATACTTGAACTAATTTTTCTTAAAACTTTATCTAATTTCTAATCCTGATCTAACTCATTACCGGTAGTGAAATTAATTTAATATTTATTTACGTCAAATTCATACATCAGTTTTTTTTTTTATTGGCATTACAGACCATATAGATCTTTTGCCACCTTAACAAGCCTACTCTATCTCTGCCTGTCTTGGGCTATTTCTTTCTATTTACCTGCACGCAGCACTGTTGCATCTTTGTTGATTGATTCTATCTATCCATCTGTTTTTTGGCCTTCCACTTGGTCTTTTACCTACTATTGAGACATTCATTGTTATGTAGAGCCTTCTAGATAGATTGCTACGAGCTACATACCCCACCCATCTTAACCTCCGTGCCTTCATATCATGGGATATTGATTGAACAGTTTCTGTAAGCGTTTCTTTATTGGTCTTTCTTCTCCATGTGTTAGTACTCTGATCCCAGATCGCTCCGATTATCATGCGGAGGATTTTCTCTCAAATCTTTCAATACTTTTTTCTAGGGTGCTGGTTAGTGTCCAGGTCTCACAGCCATATATTAGAACCGGCTTTATCATAGCATTGTACACCCTTAGTTTGAGATTTCTTGAGATTTTTCGGGATTTCAATAGCATTGAGAGAGAGAAGAAAGCTCTGTTTGCGCTAGTGATACGCTGGTCCATTTCTGCCGGTTGGTCATTAATTGAAGTTCTTGTAGAGTCAAGGTATTTGAATTCTATTCCCGGGAATGATTTTCCTTCGCAGACTCTGTTATTGAGGTGAAACCTACATGTATTGTATCATATCTGAAAATCGAAAAGAGTTTGAAGAAACTTATAAATCAATATTAAATTCATTTAAAAAGAGGCATCCAGGCTGTGAAAGAATATTACGCAGCTTAAATGCCATACTCAAATATTTCTTGTTCAAAATATATTTTCAAATTATTAGCTAGGCTCTCTAAATAAGATCCTTTATTTTGCATGAATAGGGCAGCTTTGACCGATTATCGTCTGGAATGCTTTATGAATGTGAGTTATCACAGAATTCCATATTGGCATCTGGGCTAAGAACAATCTTATTATAATATTTATTATGCCAATTCTACATAGTAAATATATTATTATCTCTTTGTTATTCATGTTCCATTTTAAATTTTTTCTGTTTCTTTTTTATTACTCTGATTTGTAGTATATTTTAATGTATATTATTACTGATATATTAATAAAGTGAAAAATGAAATACAGCCAGCCAGAACTCTATACAAAATATAGAATTCATTACGTCTATCTATCTTTTATGTAAAATACCAGAAACAGTTATAGATCTTTCTGAAGTAAAATTTAACTAATTCCTAAAAAATTAAGGTTGTGTGCGTTAGACAACTCGATAGAAATGGAAACATCAAGGCGAGATTAATAATATGAAATATAAATTATAAATAATAGCTCATTATAGAGAGGATGAAATGCAGAACATTTCCCTAGCTTACAACAGTTTTCAGGTCCGATTTTTAGTTCCTGAGATTTACATTTTAGTTTATAGCACATTATGACAAGGTTTTGAATTTTTTTAGTGAAAAATTTAGAAAGAGGAGAAGTACATGGACTAAACCACAGCAAGTAATTTTATATGATCTAATTTTTCCAAGTCTACTTTCGCTTGTTCTATTTTTAAGAAGAGAAAAGCAATCTTAGGAGGTACCCTGTTATATTATCGACCTTGGGTGAGTTGGGCACTCATTCTGAAAATATTGGGTTGGCAAATAAGTCCTTTCGGTTTTTTCAGTGTGAAATAAAACTCAATGTATTAAAGACATAAAATTTATTTTAATCTACAAAATACTGACCATTGTTTAATATGACGTTTCCCATATTTCCACTAACTGCATAATGCCATGTTCATAGAATGTCTGGCAAGTTTATTCTTAAAAAACTGATCCATACGGTTTTTTATGTCCTCTTCCTTTTGGAATTCCTTTCCATTCATGGAGTTCTGCAGAGACCGGAATAAGTGGTATTCACTTGGAGCTAGGACTGGAGAATAGGGAGGATGGGGCAAAAGATCCAATCCAAGGTTCAATAATTTATTGCCAGTGACCAATTCATAACTCTTCAGGATGTTCTCCAGATTCGATGCTACTATATCCGGTGGAAAGCTGAATTATTGCTCTTTAAAGCTGTGTGAATGTTTTTTTTTTTTTTATTTAATGCCTATATAAGGAATAAATAAACAAAACTCCTTATAGGTTTTTATTTGTTATCTCCATTTGTAGTTTGTTTACGAAGGTTGAAGGTCCCATTGATATCATTTTATGTAGTTTATGTGGCTCTAAATTTCTGCTATATTTCTTGTAGATAGCTAAAGTCGTATTGAAGTTTTGTTGTGATTTTTGAA